CAGTACGGTAGCTAGTTTTGTGTCAAGCGCAGGATTTCTGCGCTAGCAGGAAATGAGTCACAATGACCCAAATAACACTGACCCACACAAGACATGAATAACATTATCATAAATTATTTTAAAATGGATGTAAAGGAAATGGTGTTTAGAAAGCTGAACTATGTCTTAAAGGAGGAGCGGTTGGCAGCTATCAAGGCTTTCCTCGAAGGAAGAGATGTTTTCATAGTGCTACCCACTGGCTATGGAAAGTCTTTGTGTTATATGTCTCTTCCAAGTCTTATTGACCATTCAGTAATTTACCACATCTCTGCACCTTTCTGCTGCTGGATCACATCTGTTTTTGCTCTCTTTGCTTAAGTCTTTACCACAGCCTAAACATACAACGACGGTCATGTTTACACACGTATGGGCGGTGCTCATTTTCAGCCCCACCTATATGCATGCTGTCAGCTCCACCCGTGACACAAAACTAGCTACCGTACTGAACCTGACTCTCTGTTTTTCCGCGAGAGGCAGGATCCACCTGACTAGGACAGGACCATGTGAGATCAGTAAAAAAGGATTTTAATTTTTTTCTTTTTTTAACAGATTCCACAATTAGTAACGAAACAATACAATATTGATTACACAATCTCGCTAAAGCCACATCCATTACCGACAGTAATTACATGTATTTTTATTAATTTCCTTTATTCTATTAATTTCTAGTTTTATAAAGTAGAGGACATTGTATTATTAATGCAGTTCATTTATGTTGACCTCCTTAACCTGTTTGACTGGTTTAACAGTTAGTGGAGTACATGTACATGTATACATGTAGTCTTCCTTTTTGTAGAATTGCTGTCAAATGATGTCAAGTTATTTTTTATGCCAAGATTTGAGCGTAAAGGTAAGCACAATATAGCATGACATCCTACTACATATTGGACTGCATGTAGTTAATTATTGACAAAATACTTTTATATTTATGTATCTTACATGTATAACATGAATTAATAAAATTATTTGTTTTTAATTTTTTAGATAGAAAGGATAATTTGATACCAGCGTCAATGTGCAACATTATGGAATCATTAATATCATTTTATAAACCATTATCACTTCCTGTGAGTTTAATGCACATAATATGCTATCCATAATTGTCATCATATTTTGCTTGATTGTCCGACCAAATTCTATGTTGTTCTATCATTTTGTCTGAGCAATGTAGTTTTTAAAATATTGATATAAAGTTTAAATAATTATTAAAATCAATTTAACATAATCACTAATTAATCGTGTCCAATCATAGAGTTACCCACAGTGAGGTATGCTATAGCTGCATGCTTCATGAGCTAACAAGCACTACAATGGAGCAACTTTAAAAATTCATAAAAAAATTAAATTTGATTGGAATCAGCTCAAATTTTCTGCACAACATAAGAACATGTATATGTATCAGAAAAAATTATAAAAGTGGAGAATTCTCTCCTTTTCAATTTTGGTGAAATTTGACCACTGGCCCTGTACTATAGTACCAGGGACTTTGACCCGATTTTTGAGCAACTTTAAAAATTTATATAAAATCCAAATATGATCGTAAACAGCTCAAATTTTCTACACAGCATAAAATCATGTATATGTATTAGAAAAAAATTATCAAAATGGAAAATTCTCTCCTTGTGATTTTTGTCGAAATTCCGTGTACTACATGTAGTACAGGGTTTTTGGCTTAATTTTTGAGCAACTTGACAATCCACTGACAAGAAGCTGTATGAGCACTATGCCAAAATCCTGTGGGAAACCCTGTCTTAAGCAACATGTTCACACACTATCTCTAAATATTGAATATAATTCCAGGCTCTCCTGTCACATGTACATGTATATGTATATCCATCCTCTTTCTTTCCAGAGACTTGCTTCTGTTACTAAAGAGCTGGCAGTTTTCAAGACAATACAGCAACTGTATCATACATGATAGTAACAAGGTACAGACCATACATGTATAGTGTACATATAGTCTTCATTACCCTCTCTCCTTATCTATAATTAGAATAGACAGTATTAATTGGCACTCTCGTGATTCAGAGGTGAATGGACCCCTTTAATTCATTAATTTAATGAATGATCTTAGGCCATTCTTGTTCACTTGTGTCATTTTGTTCCTGACAGTCACACCACATCCTCTCCTGATACAGTAAACAGTACAGGAAGACATCATTGACCACACAAGCACAAACAGCAGGAAGGAACAAGATATACATGTAGCAGGAAACATACGTAAATAATTATTATTAGCATGTTGTTGTTGTTGTTGTTATTGTTGTTGTTGTTTTTATTAAGGAGGGAGACTGTTGTTGAGCTTCGAAGCAGTTCTAGTTATCATTTCACAGGAATATTCACTGACTGCACACAACTGGCTCTACTCTGCCCCCAGTTGTCTTCTCATTTATTGTTTCATTTATTTTTGGTAGATTTGGAGGCTGGTATTAATTATAAGTTTAAAGACAGGAGTCTTCTAGAAGTTAGAAGAAAGATAGAGAGAGAGAGAGAGAGATGATTATGATTTTCTATTATTCAGTTAGCCCTGACCCACACTTCCTTCATTACTCAATACAATGGTTCTCGGCCCCTACCTAATGAAATACTCATATCATTATCAAACTGTGGTACAAGGGCTCATGTTTCCACAGCAACAGGTAAGGCCCCACCCTCAAAGAGACCAAAGAGCAGAATAGAAGGATTGACAGAAGCTGCTGAAACCAGTCGTGAGAAATACAAGGAGGATGAAGGAGATGTTGTATTGTGAGGTGTTCTATTAATAGTATCATAATGATGTATGTCTTTGTGTTCTAAAAATAGACCAAGAGATAAGAGAGACTTGAGTTTCTTGGAGATGCTGTAATTGAGTTTTTGTGTAGGTTAGTTATTTAGTATATGTACATGTACATGTACCTCCTTTTGTCTATATGTACCTCTTATACATGTACTCTTTCCCTCTCTCTCTCCTCTCCTCTCTAGTATTCAGTTATATCTCATGTTTCCCTCTTTCACTGATTCTCATCTTGTTATCTTCAGAAAGGCTCTAATATGTAACCAGAACCTAGCCAGTGTTGCCAAAGTATGAAACTACCCAATGACCACATCTTGTAATTGTACTTTATGCATTTTAGAGAATACATCTTGAGAAATATTTATTAATGGATGTCAAGTGAGTATGATAATAATAATGACAATGATACATGTACATGTATTTATTTATTATTGTTTTATTTCTTGTCATTTTTAGTTTCAAAAATGCTGATATAAATCACATATATGCTAATACTTTGAAGCACTCGTTGGTGCTGTATATAAAGACTCTGATATTAACACATCCACACTTCTCTTCCCTGAAGAAGTACAATAATGAATGATACCCTCTCTCTCTCTCTTACTATTGCTCTATTTGTATAGGATCTAAGAGAGATATGGCTCTCTGAGTATAAGGATCAACTACAGGTACTGTATTAATGTGACTATGTCTCATCTGTTCAGTTTGTAGGTGGACTGATGGAGATAGGCACGTGGTTAATGAGTATCCCATTTTAAATGTAATTATAACCAGCAGTTGCTCATTTGTTACACTATTTCTCTAGTCTTTCAATAAACTTGAGGAATCCATTTGAGTTAGATTCACCAATATTAGATTGCTAGCCAGAGCTATTACCCATCCATCATATGGATGTACCGATGACAACTCCCACATGTGGAAACAGTATATTTTTCTATAAATGCACCTAAAGAATAAATATAATATATGCAACAACAAAAATGTACCCAACAGATAAGTGTATTAATTTCTGACTAGTTAAAGATACCATACACCATAGTGACTATACACACAAACTAATTAACTCAATATTACATGTAGACAATGGAAGGGAATAAGCAGAAAATGCAAAATCATAGATCATGTTCAAAAACTGCTAATTACATGATCCATATATTCAATCAATATTAATTATATTCTTCGTGCCAAAAGAGATGGAACAGATCCCACAAAATTATCTTTAAAAAACTCTAACCTGGAGATAAATAAAGAAAATATGTAATAGTAATACTTCTCCTTACTTCTTTAAACCTATCTCAGTTGATTTAACTCTACACCCACTCAAAATCCCCAAAAGCTGCCTAGTCAGCAGTTCAATGCATAATAATTAAATTTTATGCCCACTCAAAACTAGATAGATCATAATCTGTGGCTTAATTAAGAGTTGACTGATGCAAAGCTGCCCAGTGAATATAATAGTGAGTACCAGTGGTGTACTGGAACTAGGGATCAGAATAAATGCACTCAGTCTTGTAGTTTTGCAAGCCAGACCCAGCCATTCTGGCAAAATAAAATAATTATTTACAAAAATTAATATTCAGTCATAGTTTACAAAACAATTGCTGGCATATACATGCACAATCTCCTAATGATCTTCTAATATTCCTAATGTAGTCACAATAAAGCACTC